ACACTGCTGTTCCGAAACCGCCACGTCGTCGATATTTTAGCTCTTGAACTCGTATTTTTTACTACATAATAACTCTGGTGAATGACAACAATACCGATACGATTGATATGATGATATTTTCATCACGCCTACTTTGGATATGATATGAAGATCCTGTAATACATGTATAATCTTGCCGTCGGTGGCTCATCTTTTGTGGCTTTCATTTTTTTTTATTTAGTGACTTGTCTATGTGGCTTGTCATTTAAATTTTTTTATTTCGTAACTTGCCTGTGTGGCCTGTCGCCCGTTTGCCTTAGTGGCTTGCTTTTTTGAACTGTGATTTATCACAGAAAATTCAGTTTGATTGATAAGGGAGCTGATCGTGATAGAGAGAAAGTGGCTTTAATAATTATTGCTTTATCTTTGTGTTTAATACTTGCTGATATTATATCGATATCGATATATTTTAATTTATTTGATGTATTATTAATTGTTATTGAATATACTTGATGATCATGTCATTAATACATGTAGATAACGATAACGAATACGTAATTATCAATTTCTCGATAGTGAATCTCTAATATAACATTTAAAACAAAATAAAAACTTCATTATATACAATATCGAATTTTTACCACATGAAGCACCAATAATAATAACGATAACGGATGTTGACATGACATTGAAATTCGTCGCAGATAACAACACTGCGCACACACTTTTCGTGGACATGGTGGAGTGATTAGTGCATTGAATTTTATTATAATGCATTGGTTTCTGGTGCTGATTATTGAAAAATTCGCGTTTCGAATTTGGCGGAGCGAAAGTGAGTACATGTATTTTTTAGAATTTTTAATTACATGTATTTACGTTCCAATAGTTATTTATTTATTAATGTTTTGTATCATGAGAAGTCGTGACCGTACTGTTAAATGTTGGGATATCGATATCGATGATGTCATTGCTTAAGAATAAAGGTTTGTGTATCTTATCTGTAATGTCACTTACGAATTTGTATTAGAATATTTATATGTAAAATTTATTATTTTGGGATTTTTTGATTTCAAATAATATGTCGAGAATACCAAATCAAAAGCACTTTTCACACATCAAGCACATGATAAAGACATTAACACGATTTCAATAACATACAATGATAAACTATTTGCTAGTGCCTCACAAGATAAACAGATCTATAGAGGATGAATCACTCGTAATGGTCATAGATGTGGTATTTGGTCAGTACAGTTATCCCCCCAAGTTGATCATAAATTACTGTTTACGAGTTCAGGAGTTAAGTCAATAAAACCATAGTCTTTGTCGGATTTCTCATATTTAAAGGTAATTTGTATATATTATTGAATTATTCGTACTAGCTGACAAATCACTGAATTGTTTATTTGTTCATTTGTTCATTTGATTACTTCGTCAAAGACAATGGAAGGCCACACTAATACCATATTCTACAAGTCTCATTTCTGGTTTCCGGTCAACAGTTAATATCAATCGGATCAGTTAGTCCCGTGAAAGTGTGGACAATGAAAACTAACGAATGTGTCAGCAATATCGACAATCATATCGAGAAAGTATGGCCGGAAATTTTTGTACGATTGAGGAGATGAAACAACAATTGAAAGAGCATGAATTTACACTAAGCTTTGTAAATTATTAATACAGTAATTAATTTAAATAAATTTATTTCTGAGCACAATCTGGTAAATTACTTGTAAAAAATGTCATATGATTAGCAATGACACTCAACCAAATTCCGGTTATTAAATCTATATAGTGTATAGGTGATAATTCCAGTCCTTGAATGCTTGCCACCATCCTGGAAATCCTCGGTTAGTCCTGTACTGGATTAATTTGATTTCAAAGTCAGACACTAATTGCATTACCGTAGGAAATCTAGTGCGTGCAGTCCTTTCTATTATATCGGATAGCCCAAAGGTATTCTGATAAGCCTCCTCTGTAAATATATTTCTATGGAAGTTCAGAAGATATTCATAACAACTGATACGAACAGACGCATCTTTACCATGCCCAAGAGTTTCTTATCTGAGTTCTCTAAATAGAATGTCCTGAAATTGTCTCTTGATATCCATGTTAAATTGATAAATATAAACTGCTTGTGAATTGAAGCTCATGCTTCAGTATACGTGCCTGACTTTCAGTCACTTCTTGATAACCTGTTCCAGATACCAATAACACAGCTGGAGATTGGCAATCCATAATTGTGCTTCATTCACAGCTGCTCTCAAGCATCTTTATCAAACAGAACAAATGCTGGTA